TTTCAGCTGAAATGAATTTTTACTCTAAGTTTAAGTTCATATATTGTGAAAAAGTCTAAATTGAAAGAAATATTTCAATTGATTCCATTCAATTTTTTCCAGATTTCTGATTTTATCAAAAAAATTGAGATTTTTTTTTTACTCTTATCTCAATTCAACGGACAAAATTTTCAGAAAACTGGAAAATTTTCCTTGGAAAGGTAACCTATCTTGCAATCAGCTCAAGGCAGAACTTATTCAAAGGATAAAATGAAACTTACATGAATTTTCTAGTTTTTGGACATGTTTAAAAATAATGTCACTGCATTTTTCTATGTATTTTGCACAATCATTTCCTCAGGAGTAAACCATACAAGAAACATAAATCCAAATCATAATGGACTTATGAAGTGGAGAAGAGGATTAGGAACCATGTTGTCTCATGTCTACCACTAATTTGCTTTTTGATCCTATGTAAGTAATTTTCACTTGTCCTTTTTGTGCCTCAGTTTGATCTATCTGAAACACTAGTCTAATTAATATACAGAAAATATATGCCCAAAATCATGTTGTGAGACTAATTAATATTTGTAAAGCATTTCAGCATCCTAGACTGATGGTGCCCATATTAATATTAATTATTTGGTCCAACTGTAATGCAATTACTCTACTTTTTTCTGTACATTTAAACTGTAGAATATCTTCTCATGGTGCATCTTTCCATCTGAGTCTCCTTTCTTAAGCAGAGGAAATATAAAGGAATGAGGAACAAGGGGTCTATATAAAGATAATGCAATACAAAATTATATAGGATTATGTAGTACCATTAGGATATCTTTAACCAGTACAACTTTTTAAGCTAAACACTTTGTGAATCATATTTTTAATAACTGATATCATAATACTGAAACACATGCATTTTTATTTAACATTTGTGTCATGTCTTATTGCATAGATTATGATGTTTTACATTTTAATTTAAGTTTTTTCAGTAGTTATTGTAACACTAGCATTACAGCCCAGAGACTTTATCAACGCATACAAACATAAGTCAAAATAGAACCATATTGGGCAGTATAAAGCTTTGGAACATTCAACTAATGATAATGAAAACTAGCTTATAAAAATTCAAACAGCATTTTGTGAAACTATTATAAAGCTAGAAGCTTGGGAATTAGACAGAGTACCCACACAGTAGGAGAGTACAAATGAACACCTACGCAGATGGCTGCTATAAGAACTGAACAACCACCGTGCTATATAATAGAAAGAAGCAAAATGAAGTGCCGATTGTAAGTGGTGCTTAACTTTATTAAGCCAAAAGAACACTATTACTGAAAGTCTGTATCTGACAAAGGGAAATTACTTTGTTGTAATCATGTTCATGAGCTGTCTTGTATAGTCAAAGGCCTGCCATTCATTTAAATTAAACTGTAGCCTTTAAAATGTTAATTAGATGTTACAGCCAGATGCAATATTGAAGAACCTTTAATTTATAAGTTTCAACCATTTTTCTTGAAACATTCTCACATGTTTGTAACAGAACAACAGGCATGGATTTGTGACAACATCAAAAGACTAGCTTGCCATACATACTCCTTTTGTTGTCTTTGATTGCACTGCTATATATATTAGTGAGTATGCACAGTAAATACCTCCTTAAAGGATATACTTCTAAAGCTAAATTAGAAAAGAGAACATGATTATATATCAGTTTAAAAAATGAGTTTTAAGACATTGTTCTTCCTTTGGGTGTTAGCAAAAATTAAATTAATGGACACAAGATACTTTAACTTTCCTTCACCACACCATAAAAAAATGCTTAAACTATTCCTAATTTACATGGACAAATTAGTTCAATAGGACCAATTGTAGTATAATGACACCAACTGTTTATAAAAACAAAACTATTAAGCTGACAAAAGCATGCTCAAACAGCCATATTGATAGTAGTGCAGAGCACAAATTGAACCCTTCCACCCACCCAGGAATATAAATCAGATCATGCATTGCAAAAGAAAATGGTTATAATGTTTTCTGCAAATTAAATCTCTATAAAGCTCAGAAGCTGAAGAAAACCGTAGGTTGAGGGTCTACATTTTTTCATACACTTACATCAGGCTTCTCATAAAAGCTTACCACAAATTCCAGCAGTCCTCAGTCTGGATTTCCAAAGGTGTTGAGCACCTGCAGTTCCCATTGACTTTAACTGGTCAGCACCTTTGAAAATGAAACCCTTAACTTTTCAAAAATAACAGTAATGAAAAAAAAAGAAAAAAACCCCTAGGATATTTTAACATGCCATACGTAAATACAATTTTGGAAGGCTGACTTTAAAAGGCTTGATTAAATAGGAATTTGAACTTCTTTTGGTTGTATGCCTCATGGCTTACATCTTACAGAGTTAACCCCAAAGGTGCATGATCCTTACCATTCCAGTCCTTACTTTTTACTAATATTATACCAAAGTGGAACTTGGTATGCCAAGAATAATAGAATGAAGTATATGTGAAATTAAACCTTAGTAGCACATTGCCATTTTTGTTTGTATCTTTCTCTGTTCTTACTGTTACATATTTACTTTAGTTGATTCTCTTCATCTGCTAGTTATGTCTGCCACAAGACACCTCCCATCCTACTATCTGTATTACATTTGCTACCTCATTAAAAAACAGAAACACTGATCTGGAGTGGAGAACGAGCAGCAATGTCATTAAGGAGTGGAACAAGTTATTGACTTTAGATCATGCTTTTGAAGCATGTGGTGGGATAGGGATAGAATTAAATTCCTTGAGGCCACAGTCCAAGTGCACATATAGTCAAAGATAACATGAATATAGCAGATCCAGAAATGCAAAAGTTTAGAACCAGAATAGATTCCACCAAGTTTAAAGGTGTTCAGAGAAGGGGCTCATGGAATAAATAAAAATGCTTGAATTTTCTAGTGCAAATGCAGCATCAAACTAACCCAGCTCCCATTGACCGTCTATTTGCTGAGTGTTTTTAAAAACCCTCCAAGAATGCTTCATTCATACTGGAATAATTATTATCAGACATCTATACTGCATCTAATATATATGGGAATGCAATCATGAAGATATGTCCTGTTCGCTTGCTAGTACACCAAATATAGCAAATGTTTTTTGGTGCACATCCAGTCTCTGTATTGGGTGTTTTTATTAGAGCAGCACTAGCCTAATAGCAGCAACATGATTTTTTTTTCAGTATTTGGGATGCATTGAAGAGGAGTGAGTAGTTTGGCATGTTTTCATGATCAAACTTATTTTACCACAGTCCAACAGAGCGTAGATATGACATTAGGAACCAACAGTAAACATCAAATGACAATCCATCTGAACTTCCCCAAAGTTTGGATCTGGGGACATGGGGATTTGGTTAGGACATATACCTGTTTCTATCTTCACATGTTTTCAAAGTTGGAATTAGTGTGTTTAGCATGAGTACAGACTGCAGAATTCATTCTAAGTAAATATATATTTAACATATTCTGGCATCATTGGAAAAAGCCTGTTAATTTTTTTTTAAAGGGCAAGAAGGTTGACTTATGTTGTGGAAATAGGAGTCTATTTTACACTGATATATACCTTTTGGATCTTTTGGATGATACCAAAAAATAGATTAATTCAGTAATACAGTAAAAGCTGTGTTATCCGGCACTTTACCATCCGGAATGCTCCGTTAACTGGCATGTGTCATAGACGCCATCTGTTGTTTACGACAGTGGGTTGACACAGCAAAAACGAAACCAGAAGTCCCACCATGGCACTTCTGGTTTCGCCAAGTCCCACTTCTTTCTTGAGGACCACAGCCTGGGGCAAAGCAGCCTGCATGGGTCCCCCATCCCTGTCCCCCAGCACACTGACACCAGGGAGTGAAAACCCTGGCACACCAGCAAAGACGCCACCAACCCACTGGAGATAAGCTCACAGACAACCAGCATATTTGATTAACTGGCACCCCCCATTCCCCAGGGATGCCAGATAACAGAGCTTTTACTGTAGTAGGCTAGGTTGGAAGTTGTCGTGGCAAAAAGAAAATGCCCAGAATATGAGAAATGAGCAAACTCTTTGACTTAGGCACAAACGCCCTTCCTCAGGCATAGGGAAACTATGCCTGAAAAAGGCGTTTGTGCTCAAAAGCTTACAAAGATCATTGTTTTCCAACTATTCAGCTGGTCTAATAAAAGATATCACATCTATCCAAAGAACCTTGCCTGCCTATGTACTTAGACCAACACGGCTACAACCAACAACCCAGAAACTCTTTGACTTGACCTTTAGGACTATCTGAACTCAACTTCAGTTCAAATTGAAATCATTCCATCAATTAGCAGAGGTTTGATGACATACTGTTTGTTTCACAAGCTGCCCAGAGAAGATTTTTGTGATGTTTTCACTTTCTAGTATTGATCAATTCACACAGCTGCATAATTGAAGTTTGATGCTGCTTTGCTGGGATGGATCACGTTGGGTGAGTAACAAGGTGGAAGTCACGTGCTGTTTGTTTCTCTTCTGTCTCTAATTGGTTCACAGTTCCATTTGAACAAAGAAATAAGTCTAGTTCTGCAGAAGCCATTTTTCCTTACATTTTTGACCCACCTCAAACCTTGGAAAGAAAAATATCCTCCTAGCTCCTGAGATTTTGACTTTGACAGCCAGCTTCTTAGAACTTTTTACTGCATCTGATGCCCCAGTCTTGGGAACTGTGTGATCATTACTTTATATTTAGTCTGATATAATTATATCCCACATATAGAAGAGGAAAAAAATTCTGATAATAGTATTTTTGTATTATATATGAAATGCTAGTTAATTTATGTATATAAAGAATAGTTTCCCAAATTTTGTGGAGCTAGCCTTATGACTTTTACTTTTTGGGGGGTTAGATAGCAATTCCAATAAATGGTTAGAAAGGCAGATATTTTACACTAAAATCATAGTTCTGTTTTTGCATCCAAATTTGTACCTATGCTTTCTCTTTTTCCTCTCTTTCAGGAACCTTGAATCTCAGTAGCACTGACAGAGCCAAAAGAGCTTGTTCTAGCCTATCTCCCAAACAGGGTAGGCAAGACAAAAGGACTCTCCAAGCCCTCTACTTCCTCAAGTAAAACACCTTATCAACAACCAACCTTATAGGACAGTTTGATTTCAAGCATTTGCATAGCACCCATCAGCATAGCATTTAGGTGCTCTGCAGTCTTTCATGCCATTGATAGCTACACTATTGTAGCCTTTTGCTTAGAAGCAGCTACAGTTGAGAGTTCTGAATTGTGTGATTTATGCAGTTATAAACAGCATTAGTCTACTGCACTAAGTTTAGTTCATGCGTTTCAGGCATATGTAATTATAGCACAAACACCAGTTTATTGTCACCCCCTCTACACCTCATGTTGATGTTTCCATAAAAACAGTGCTGATTTTTTCTTCAAACATTTAGGTAACTCTTGAATTGTGTTGTGCACAGTGTTTTTATTTTAAGTGTTATCAGGAAAATGAAGACAAGCAAGGTATAATACAATACTCCTATTGCCATTCTCATCTAAAAAATCTAGACACTTGAAAAGGTATTTTTGCTTCCTTTTTAGCTCCCCATTTTTAAAGATGATATAATATAATATTATGTCAGGCCAAAGAAAACTAATTACTTGCTTAGTTGGTAACTCATCTCCCAGTAGATCCTGCTTTTGGTACATTTTACCACAAACAGTCAAGTGTGTTTTTCTCATTTATACTCATGCCTGATCCTCCTTCCCCCCCAAAAAGATTTTTTTTTGCAAATATTTATTTAGAAAACATAGAATTCAGCAATATTTCCAGTACATGTTAGTTCTTGAATACTGTCACTTCTCTATAAAGCAAATATTAGCCTTTTAAAGGAGTCATATTTCCAGGATCAGGTGGGAAAGACAGAAGTGTTGGATGCACCTCACTGCACTGCTGTTCATCCTCAACACTTTGCACAATGTGAGAATGTTTAATAATTCCAACCCAGCCTACAGATAAGAATCTCTGGTGTCACATCACAACTGACAGTGCTGGTGTGAGATTTGCAGTAAAACAATATTCCAGCTGTAGCTTTCATTTACAGAAATAAAACAGCAGAATGGAAAGGGGGCGGGGGGAGAAGATAAACATTTTAGTCTTTTAGCAACGTTTATACAAATTATAGTGGAGCTACTAAAAAGTGAATGTTAAAAAGCATGAAAAACTGAAAGCAATTTGATTGTAGAGCTTGTTCTGCATTTTTCCAGATCTTTTTTTAAAAATACCCAGTTAATGTTTCGCTCCTAAGGACATCCAATACAGGCAGATCACCAAATATAAATAAGCTCTTTCCCAAATAAAGTGTGTGGCAACTGTGGGACAGGCGGCCCTATTTTTCTCCCATTAATCACTAGAAACTTCACACGCAGGAAAAGTCTCAAGGGATATTTCTGGCTGGGAAAAAGATCCTCCCTCCTCTGTTCTAATCAGTCCATCCCATCTGTAATGGCTTTAGAAAATTGTTAATGACATAAAGTGACAGTCGAAGGGCTTTTTGGTCTGTCAGTATAGAGTTTCTATGAGCTCTCTAACAAACTACTACATACAGTTCTCAAAGCTTCTGGAAAATGATCTGGATTACGGAGGAATAAATTTGATATGTTAGCAGTCACAACCAGGAACTGAAAAGAAAGGCTTCCTTAATGCTGTTCTTTCAGGCTATAATGGGAAATACTAAGATAAATCTGGCTGTGAGACAAACCACATAAGAGGGCTTCTAACACTCAGAATATAGATCTGCATTATAGAATGTGTAAAATATACATGCATGTGAATAAGTTAAGAATAGGAACTTAAACAAGTCTTTTGTTAATTTGCATTGCATTCTGAATGCAGCTGTAAGGCTAAAAACCTACTACTTGCACATTAAGACTCAGTGTAATAGCATTATATTAAGTACTTGAATTTACGTATCTTAAAGAATATGCATGCTACTCAAATGTAAATGAGCATCCAAACCCTGAAGCCTTTACTCAGGTTAGATTCTTGTTGTTTATTGGGTAAGGATGGCAAGATTGAAATAATTAATTACATTAAATACATAAAAAATTAGGATCATTTGCTTTACATGATAAAACTGGAAAATTCTGCTCTCCAGATCCTAAAACACTGTATTTAATTCAATTATTCCACATCTGAGACATGAGGATAATGCATAATGAAAGTTAGAACTGATGCAATTTGAAGCATGATTCAAAACACCACTAGGAGATCAAAAGGCATAACAGTACTGCTGCAATTATCATAAAACACTCTGGAGCTAGATTCTGACCTCACTTACAGAGGAAAACATTTAAACTGTAGCAAATTTACGTGGACTTACACCGCTGTAAATTCAATCAGAATCTTGCCACCTTTGCCTTAAGAACCGTCTGCATATTTGTGCAGTCAAATCCATTTGGAATAGGTGAGTTGTAAGTATGTAAAGGGAATTTTGCCAGAATTTTTAAAGACTAATTTTATTTGTCTACAGCAAAACAGTCTCTTTCATATTAATTTTTAATTTTCAGAAAATTTACTACATTCATGCGTCACAGGCATTGACAATGTAAAGACTGAACTCCTCACATGTTTAAATCATTCTAGGGTAAGTTTCTATGGAGAAATATTATACTCTGATCACTTTCACAGCCAAGATATAGTTTAAACAACTAGCTGGCACTATGCTCAGAAAGCTTGCAGGTGAAAACTGTTCTTTTCTGTTTAGGTGCTCTCTTTCCTGGGCACCATGGCATTTGGCAGTCTAATAAAGTAACACAGAAATCCTTAAAAGATGTTATAAAGGGCACAGTAAATTACTCACAAAACTTTTGGCTAATATAATGGTAATCATAGGGTGCATCTATATGTGCCATTAAGGTGATGTGATAAACTCCAAAGCAATTTGTGTGGGGGAAAGCTGCTTCTGGGCTCAGCATTTACACATGGGCCCAGGACCACAGCACTTTGAGCCTGGGTGGAGCAGCCCTGGGCTGGCAAGAGGCCTGGGGGTGGGGGTCAGACCCAGGCTCCGGCTGGCAGTGGCAGGTGCAGAGGGGCTGACTGGGGCACCAGCGTGCTGAAGTGTGGGGCTAGACAGCAGGCAGTCCCCATACTTTAGCACCTTTGTGCCCCAGCCAGCCCCTCTCACCACCTACATATACATTCGAGTGGAGTAAGTTACTCTGCTGTAGGACAGTATTGTCCTCAACAGTAGTTAATTAATTTACTGTGCCCTAATACACATAGCGTAGTAGCATCTTGTGTAATAGATAAACCCACAGAGATTTAAATTACGCCATTTAGGCATTGCCTAAACACCCCTGAGAAATCATAACTCAGATTCCCTTGGGGAAATCCAGGAAACTGCCCTAAAACTGCCAATTCAGCCAGGGCATTAACCTAAAATTGGACAGTCTTCTAGAGCTGCATAGCTACCATAGCTGTCACCAGAAAAGAGAGAATTATATGCCAGTAATCTCTGGCTGCTATAATAATCTTTAGGGTTGTTACAAACCATTGAAATTTAGAACTGCACTCAGGCTGCTCTAGATTGTGCTATGGGACACAGGCTGACTGAAGATTCCCATTAACCATCTAGCAGAGGTACCACAGTATCTGGGTCTGCATCCGTTAATCAGTTATTGCTATGGGTAATGTAGTGATTCTCCACGTGCATAGATTTCATGTTCATTAGCAAGGAAAGATCAAGGTGTTCTGATCTAAAAATTACAGAGAAATTTCTATTAGTTGAAGCAGCATTAGGACTTTTATTTTCTTACTGATTTACTAGGAAGAAACATAATTAGAAACCCTTGCATTTCAGTAAAAGGAAGTGCCATATACATATCCACCTTAATGAACAACAGTATTATAGCAATCTAAAGGGTCTAGTATGAACTATTCCTACTGCAAATGTGTGTAGGATGCTATTTAGGATCTTAGGGCAGCTATAGACGTGCTCTATGATAGAAGGGAGGCACTTTAATTAATTAAAGTGTCCATAGTGTCACATATATTCAGTGTCCCGTGTTTCAAAATGATGGCAGGGCCACTTTAGCTAAAGCTCATTGAATGAGCTTTAGTTAAAGCACCCCTGCTGCCATTTTGAAACATGGGAATGCTGAATAATGTGATGCAGAGTCTGCTGTAGCAGACTTGATTAATCAACCCTGCTCCAATGCCTGGTATTCAGGAGAGGAGGTCTGTCATGTTTAAAAGTGCCCTTATATCCTAACTGAAGAGATTAGACTAGTTTGAATAACTTTCCTCATGGCCTCCCCCTAGGCACAGCTCAAAACTAGTACTCTGAATTCCTCTTTGATGTACCAGTCAATTATGTTTTTGAAATGTTGTCCTTAGTTGGCTTCCATAACTATGTCCTTTTTTGGTTCTTCCACTCCCTTTATAATTACCCCTTCACGAAGTCCTTGAGTACCCTCTTCATCCTGCCTCCAACTCTTTATGAGGACATCCTATATAGCTCTGCTCTTTGTCCCTTGCCATCTGTCTCCACACTTTTTCCTGGGTAATCTCATCTGCAAACACAAATTCAAGTACCATCTCTATGTAGGTAGTTCATGGATCTACCTTTCTACTCCACACCTTTCTCCCTTGCCCAAATAAAAGTCTCAGTGGGCGCATCTACATGTTCATTAATGTGACGTATCATGGCACATTAAGTTTAGTACCTGTTGTTATAGGTACTAATTGTAATGTGCCGTAATTGCAGAGTAGTGCTGGTGCATGTTTTTTTTGTGATGCTAATGTGCAGTAAATGCTAACGTGCAGTAGACTAATTCTACTGCACATTAGCACAGTTCTTGCCTGCCACCCTAGTGTGCAGAAGAATTAGTCTACTGCACATTTAGCATCTTGTGTAGACATACCAAGCTTGTCTCTGATAGTTCCTCCTTTCTAAGCTGTCCTCCTAACTTTAACTTAGTTAAAAAAAACACTTCTTATTCTCCAGGAGCACTCTGACCATGTAACCCGTTTCTTTACATTGTTCTCTATATCTATTATACCGGTGGTGGGGGCTGTGCACTATGGACACCCCTACTTCCCTTCATGCCCCACAAA